TACATTTAAATAAATTCTAATATCTAATAACTTAATTAAATAAGACAGAATTAAAATTTTATTTTGAAAAAATAATTAATATTTATCTAAAATACAAATCTTTTTGTATTAACCTATATATATATATATGAATAAGTTATATAATTAATAAATAATAAATAAATTTTGATAAATTAAACTATATATTATTAATTTAATGTATCTCTTCTCAAACTATTCATAATAATTTATAATATATAACTAATTCTGAAGTATAAGGTTTGTACATATATTCAAGCTATTTTTGAGATATAATATTTACAGCTCAAATCTTTTTTCCAATTTCTCTTGTATATTTAACTCTTCTAACAATATTTTGTATTCACAATTTATAATGATAAACTATTTCTTTTCAAAATAGCTTCAGATTTACTTTTAAGTTCTGATAAAGTTAGTGGTGCCAGAAATTATGTCTGGCCTAAGTTGGCATCTCTAATGCCAACCAAAATTATCTAATGCTATACATATCGACATGTCATATATAATTGTAGAATCACCGCGACTATTAGACCGAGTAACGGTAATAATGACTTTTGTCAATACCACCAACTGGAGTTTGAAACTAAAATGTTATTTGATAATTTGATTGAAAACGAACGGAATTAGTAATACTAAGCATGATATGATGTACAATATGAAAATAATACAAAATGTTTTTTTTAGAGAATGGTGTGCATGATTTATATGAATGCAATGATATCTAGCGTCTAGAAAAGTTTCTATTTACTAAATATATACGCAGATTTAAGGTGGATATTAAGAATTATTAGTACATAGGTATGAAGTTAATATTTATCATGATTGCAAGTCAATCAAAACCCCAGTTTATTCAGTCTTATTATCCCAAGGAAATCTAATATATACATACAATATATCTTATTTATTCTTCGCGTAACCAAGAGTGATTCAATACGTCGTCGATAGGTGGACGTAAATCAACATCTCGATTAAGCATGCGTTTCACAAGATCTATTGAACCTATAAAAAATAACGTTTATTAGCCAATTAGGTTATACGCCATTATTATTAATTGTTTCTCACCTTCAGATAATATATAAGGAATTCGAAGATCCCTAGCAATAATTTCATCAATATTATAGAATGGATTCTCCTTGTAGATTAAGGTATATAATAGAATTCCAAGTGCCCAGATATCTTGTTGTGGACCGTCATATTTTTTACCGGTTAAAACTTCTGGTGCAGCGTAATCCAATGTCCCGCAAAAAGTGTCGTACTTTTTGCCTTCTTTTATGTATGCGCTCGACCCAAAATCAATCAATTGTACATTTCCATTTTCGTCAAGAATTACATTTTCGTCTTTTATATCTCTATGAACAATTTTGTTGCTGTGCAAATGTTGTATTGCACGTGCAACTTGTCTAAATATGGATTTAATTTCTGATTCCGGCATACCGCTATTCAATTCAATGTAATCGAATAAATCCATGCCAACGCCATGCAAGCCCATTTCAATGTAATAATGCTCTTCGTCTTCGAAAAAATCAACTAACAAATACAAGAACCAATTTTAGTAATATAATTTGAGATGAAAGCACCTAATTAATATGGGAAAAAAATTAAATTACCCATTTGTACAATATTTGGATGGGGAATCCGCCTTAATGTATGCAAAATATGAATTTCAAGAGGAACAGTGCCCAGCACTTTATCACGTGTCCAACAATCGACCAAAATCCTTCCTTTGACTACATATTTTAATACAACTCTTTTCTGATAAAAATTTCATGATTGTTAATTTAATACTATGAATTAAGGGCGATGATGCTATTACAGAGATACAATATACAATAATACCTGTTCAGGATCTTGTCGATTATAAGCCAACTTAACTTGCCCATAAGCACCTTGTCCCAAAGTATCAATAATTTCAAAGTCTTCTATTGATTTTTCCAAAGTTATTGCAGAATATAAATTCGGATCAAATGGTTGAACTTCTTGAAGAGGAGAGAGGACTGGAGGCGTAATAATCTGCCGTTCACTATCTCCTTGCGCACCTGTGTTCGGAGGTTTACCACCGGCAGCAATAAATTTAGATATAGGGAATTTTTCTTCCTCTTCCTCTCTTTCCACGACAGTTTTAGGTTGAATTTGATTTTGTTCGGGAATTACATTTATCGCGCAATTAACACTTCGATCGTATGTTATCCACAATGCATGTAATGGTTCATCCGGCGATTCCACCACACGCATTTGAATATCTACATCGAATTTAGTACCATCTCTATGCACTGCAACTATTCCCGATGGTCCTTGTATACTTATACTAGCACTTGAGAAATCTTTAACATGTGAAATTTTCGGTGAGGGTGGGGAGGAAAGCAACGAAGTTGCGTGACGGAATGTATTTTCTGAAATCACGATCCCCTCAACAAGAGCATGTTCCGATGCCAATATGTCAATAAGTCGTGGAAATTGCGGTAGCAAAGAATTAATATTTCGTTTGCCTACCAATTCTTGACTTCCAACCCCGAATAGATATTTCACAAAGTCAGAGTTGCATGATTGAATAATGCCAGTTCCATGAGCAGTTATGACTCCAGCGATCGTAGGAATTGATATGATTTTCAAAATAAACGCGAGAGTCGAAGACGAATCGTCGACTTCTTTTGATTTATTCTTTGGTGACACTTTTCCGATGATAGGAAATCTGCCACCATTTTTTGAATAACTTCCATAGAATTTGGTTCGATTTATTTGTTCAATATCCAATTTAGCTTTCAATAAGTCTTCACTTTCCGTATTACTCATAATTTGGTCACCGTCCACATCTTTGGATGAGATGGTTGGTAATTCTGGGATCAATGTGATCACGTGCATACCAATGAGTTCATCTAACGTATAGCCATATAAATCCTTTATGTCACCTTTTGCATCGAGTATTTTTCCCTAAACACAAAAATAATTTTAATTTATGATGTTCTTATTCATTTAATTTAAACTGGCAATTATGGACAAATTCTTTACATATTCATCAATTTCTGCCGTCATTGTTGATTCAATGATTTCCTCGAAAATCCAAATAAAAATGGAATTTCCAGCATCATCACATTTTCCTTTTAACCATAAAGATGCAGCTGAAGTTTCCTCGCTCTTTTTTTGTATCGGTAGCTAAATTCATTTGTCAAATACAATCTGATTATTATCATTAAATAATTTAAATATGACAAAATTTAAAAATAATACTATTTAAAATACATACCACTTTCCCGCATGCCAACACAACTTCCCCATTGCTTTCCCCATTTTGTGGTATTGTAGCGAGAGCACGTTGTTGTTTCTCTCGGAATGGACTAGCAATTAAATCCAGTGCTTTGATACTACACAATTCTGTTCTTGCATATCCGAACACTAAACAAGCAATATCATTTGCATTCAATATCTTGCCCTCATTATCTGTTGTAATAATTGCTTGATTCTGAGGTACAAATCTTGTTGGGGAATGTAAAGATGCAGCTGTTAATGATGAGGTATACAGAGAAGGCACATCAGTCAATGTCCTTTTCATTCTTGGCTTTTGAATGGCAGCTCCATCTTTTGATGATTCTGCTGGTAATATAATGTCTGATGAAACTGCGGGTACTTGGAAGAATGCCTGCTGAACAGGAATTTTCCAACCCTTTATTTTACTCTTCATAAAGTCGATTGATCTTTTTAGAATATTCTGACGAGTCTCAAGCATAGTAGCGTCATTTGTAACGAAACTATAACTATGCAATGATTCGGTTGAGAATCGAGAAAGTTCGAGATGATGGAAAATTCTTGCTGCTGCTTGAGAATTTTTATCAGATCGCTTAAGATCTGATGGCATTATATGTCTATCTTCTCGTATTCTTGCGAGCCCATTCGGTAAGACAGTTTCATTGTTGAGAACGTCTTTTTCGGAGTCACTAAAAGTAACAGAACGAATATTTTCAATGTTAGCTTTTTCTCATAAAAAATGGCCACTTCCAAT